CCTTTTTTAACAAAAGCTCTACATTTAGCCTCTGTGAATATTATATGGAATACACTCTCGAAATCGACCAACGCAATGCATAATGGTATCCGCCGAATGTTCCACAATCAATAAAAGCGTATCAGATTAGTCTATACACGCTGGTTCTTCTCTAAATTCAGCTTGTTCTTCCCGCAAATGTCACTCAATATTACGATTATTCTTCTCCAATTAATGTTCGCCAGGATTTTGTTTAACACATTGGTTTTCCGCGTAAACTCGGAGTGTATATGGTAAAAATGTTGAAATTTAAATAAAATAAATACAAATACACACACACACCTACACAATTCATAAATTTAAATAACTTACAATTCTTACATATATATGCATATACATAATACATATTTATATTTTGTATTTCCCCGTACGCATATAAAGTTATGTACACAGAAAAAAAAAATGAATAAAAAATTATGATTTATGTGAAATTTTTTGACACTAAAATAGAAAACTGATAATAATAGTGTATCACGTCGGTGTATGTCTCTACATACTTACATACATATATACACAATACATACATATAAATATAAAATATGTTTTAGAAATAGTAATAAATGCGATGATGATGATGAACTATTTTTATTGTCGAAAATATTATAAAGCAAAAAAACTGTTATAATTCAACATAAGCACAACAAATAAAAAAAAAATACGTAGTAATGTGCTGTCATCAAAATTATTATTTTTCATTAAAAATAGCAATGTTTTGTGATAAGTCAATTTTAATATATTTTGTAAGTTTTACACACATGTAGTTTTTCATATTGAAATTTTCTAAAATTTATTACACTTTTGACTTTTTTTGGTATTTTTTTTTATTATTTTCAGAGTAGTACGTAAATTACTGTGACACGTGAACGTTCTTTTAATTTTTCTATAAAAAACTTTTCTGACATATATTTAAATTTTTGTTAAAATTTAAAAGAAAACTACAAAAAACTAAAATTTTAATGGAAAATTTCAAATATTATTTTTCAAAAATATTAAAATTATTAGTTTTGATTAAAAATTTGAAAGAAAAAACTTTTAACATTGTGGTTTCAAATAATATAAAAATGATTTGCTCTTTCAAGTGAGGAAAGAAGCATACATAAATGGGGCGGAGGAAGAATATATACTCGTAATTGAATATAAAGTTGGGTCAAACCAATGGTTTGTATTGTAGCACTTTTCCCTTCAATAGGTGAAAATACTGCTTTTAAATACAGTCTATTTATACCTACCACACTATTAAAATTATTTTCATTCATATACGAAACTATTTCTAGGATTGCATATATTTAGGATGAACGATTTATGCAGTCTTTGAAATAAAACAAAAATTAATATAAAGAGGGGTTAACATAATGCTCGATTTTAAGGTTTAATTGTGTGAGTTAAGAAAAATAATTATATTTTTTAATGTCATGGAAATTACCGTTAGCTTTTTGCGTTTATAAAAATTTGAAAAAGCTTACGGTTTTGTTATAAGGTGAAAATATTTAAATTTTACAAATTTCGTGAGGCGATAACTTGAGAGGGGGTGGAAATGGAAAAAAATTTTCTTCTAACAAAATGAACTATTTACTAATGTCTGAAAGCTGTTAAAATTACAGACTTTTGCAACCTGGGGTTTAGGAGAAAACCGACATCAAAAAATTTGGAAAAAACGGATTTTATACAATGGCAAATTTCTACGGCATTTTGTTTTTTTAAAGTTCAAGTAAAGTATCCCGTAGAAGAAGAAGCAAGCAACTGCCTTTCTGCGTTTGCAAAATTAAAAAAAGCATATGGTTCTACTACAATAAAATAGTTTAAAAATAGCATTTTTAAGGTTTTGGAGGGGTATAACTTTTAGAGAGGCGGAGATAGGTAAAACTTATGTTCCTCGAAAATTAGTTTCTGCAAGGTTCATCACAGTCAGTTAATCAGAAACATATATGTATATGCAAATTCCCTTTGAACTTATCCTAAAAATCGTTGTAATTCTCTATATCAGTGGTCCGTAAAGTGCGGATCATGGGCAGAATACGGCCCATTAAATTTCAAAATGTGGTACATCAAACTGCTTGCAAGAGAAAAATATATGCGATTGCGACTATTAAAATTTTCCAAAAAAATTTTGAGAATTCAATCATAGATAATAGATATAGAAACATAAAGTTCCATACAATTTTTTTTATTTACCAAAATAAAACAATCATTTTTCTTGTAAGTACGTAGTGTAAGAAACTCCAATGGCTCATACTCATACTCACATCATACCTTAAAAAAATCCAAAGTACGTTATTATTTTTGGCAGCCCAAATACAAGTTATGAGAATATTCGTTTATATCTCAAACAGTCGACGATTCTTCAAATATATTTAATAATCAATTGCCCCAGTGATTATAAAATGCTAAATCGAGTTAATGTCATTAGTTGAGATATGAGTTGAGATATCATAATTTCGGTTCTTATAAATCCATCATACTTTAACAGCCTGAAATTGTCTTTTAAATCACTCTAAATCTCTTGAGGAAAATTGATGAATTAGCTGAAGCTTTAATGAAATGCCGCAACAATATCAGATATGCAAAATAAATTTCACTAAAACTAAGTGTATCAGTAATACTACGCCAAAAATTCAGAACAAAAAAGAAAATATAGATATTTCGCCTAAATGAATGGAAAAAAAATTGTTGTTAGCGAATCAAAAATACATTCAAAACGAAGAACTTTTACTATTGAGACAAATGTCCTTAAAAATTCTAACAATAATGAATTATCAAGAGAGGCCTTATCGGAAATTTATATTTTAGCAACAATCAATGGAAAAAATGTTTTAAGTAAAACAAAACAATTACTTTTCTGTTATTCTATCATTTTTATCATTAAACAAATTAGGGTGATAATTTATTGTCGGCATCTGTAAATTTAGTCGTGCATATATCCTGCATAATACTCGTATGTCATTTGAAAAGATCACGTCAGTGCAATTCACCAAATCTGGTCTATTCATCAAGAAATAAAAAACTAATTTTAATTAAATTCTCTTTTTACTTTAAATAAACTCAATTGGCTTCATAGAATTGCAATCAATTCGAAATTAAAACTATGTATAGAAAGAATTTAAAGAATTTAATAAATTTAAATAAAAAAGAATAATTTAATATTTAAATAAAGGAAAAAATAAATATTTGTGTGTATCAGTAATGCATGTAGATAGCAAAGGTAATTTGACACGTCAGTATTCGTGAAGTAATCATGTTTTTTCTAATAAAAAAACAACAAACAACAAAAACTAAATTACAAATTAAAAACCTTCATATAAAATTACAATCGAATCAATTAAGTGCCGCACTTTTTGATATTTTTCACTATCTATTTGCCCAATTAAATTAATTTAAAAAAAAAGAAAAATTTTTTTTTACATTTTGGTTTTTCATTTGATTGGTTTTGAAAAGTCGAACGAACATTCTAATTAAAAATATTTTAATTGAAATTTTAACGTTGAACTTAGAGTAAAAAATGTCACGCGTTAATCACAATCTACAGGCAATTTTTTTCTTTTATAGTAGGAAAAAAAAAATTTTTTACTCGAAAAAATTCAATGAAAATAAAAAAAATTATTTTTTACGATAAATCCACGTTATTAGTGCAAATCGAAAAAAAAATTTACTCAATCAAATCCATGATTTGTAAAAAAGCACATTTCCCTTTAATAATTTAAGGCTTGAGTTTGTATTTGTATAACATTTTTAGTGACAAACGATAGTCTTTTGAATTAATTTTACTAAACATATAAATTTGCATAAATCTAGGATGAAACTTGAAGCTATTTTAAACTTGTAAAATTTCCTTTAGTATTTTTACAAAATTTTATGTTTTTAAGACTATAGAGACTCAACTCAACTCGAATGGAGGAGAGAGGGAGAATAAAAAATTTTATTTGAGAAAAATAACGCCTTTACCAAAATTTATTCTACGATGTAGAAGTTTTGTATAAACCGACGGGCAAACGGATAAATAGAAAGACAGTGCAAAACTAATAAGAACATTTTTTATTTAATTTTATTTCAAAAATTCAAAAAAATATTGATATAATTTGTATTCCCTTTTTTTTTTGGCATGTTCAATGCGTTTTCCATTTTAGTGGAATAAAAAAAATGAAAAAAAAATTATTTAATAAAAAGTTTGTAAATTTACTATATACGGCGAGCTTACCTTTTAAATTAACTTCCATTCAAATAAATCGTAATGAACACATTTGATGTTTTACAATTAAAGAGCTTCAGTATATAAATAAAATTGTATTTAATTATTTGCGAAGGGTAGGAGTACATTTTTTATTTAATTAATCGCCAAACTAAGTTTTTGATTTTTCTCTTATGATTGGTGGTCCCCACATGAAAATATTGCAAATCATGTTAAAGGAAACCGATTAAGAATAAAGTTTGGGAAAAGATCTGGGTAAATATGATTTTTTTTCATCCAAAATAAGCGAGGAAACCATTGAATTATTGGGAGTCCAAATCTCTGATTAAGTTCATATCAGAAAAAATATGACTTTTTGATTCTGTTCACTAATTTTCATATGTAATTCTGTTGATTATTTTAACACACAACAATCAACAGGTTTAAATTACTTTAAAAAATTCAAAATTCCTAAAAAAATTTAGAATACAAATCGGAGGAAAATGTTCTATAAAGAAAAATTTACATTAATTTTATTTACGGATGCCTTTGAATAAAAGAAACTCATTTCATATACAGGAAATTATTATTCCACTCGTCATAAATTATTATGTCAAATCCTTGCTAGTTATTTTGTACATAAAGCAATTTAATTACGGTCACAACTTCACTTTAAAAAAAAATTACTTTAATTGCCATTATAATCGTATTAGAAATAAATTAAAATATAAAAATAAAATCTAACCAATTTAATATTAATTTTCTATTTTTTTTGTTTTTTTTTTGCTTCCTCTTATAGCGTAACAGTTATGCAAATGGTGGATATTTTCGAAATAATCTAGATGGTTCTAGTCCAATTTATATGGGTGTCAGATATAATAAATTAACAGAAAAATCTAAAAATTCTCATACAATTATACCTGATGATGATGATGATTTTGATTGTGATGGTGATGAAGATGAAAAAGGATATTTATTACAAGAGACAGATGATAATATACAACCATTACAACAATCATCTTTATCTTCTTCTATTGCATCAACAGTAGCAGCATCAACAGCAGCACCATCAACATCATTAAAAGGAACAAAATCTACAATATTATGTACAGCAGCTGCACAAAAATTAAAATTGAAATTAAATGATTCTATAGTAGCAGCAAATACAAGTACAAATAATACAGGAGTAAATTTTAATGGTAATGATTGCAGTAATATAACAACTACAAATAAAAAAGTCAACAACGCCTTTAATGATTATTATTATGACCCATCAGTAGAAGAAATTGAAAAAAATTGTCATTATGCAAATACTAACAATAATATTGAAGATTTCAATAATGATGATGATTGTGATAATAATGATAATGATGCCGATGATAATGATAATTATAATGGTAAGAGTAACAGTATTGTAAATATAAATTATGATGATATAACTGATAATTGTAATAATAGTAGTTTATTTAATCGTAATAACGATACTTATCATTCAAATCAAAATCATTATTATCGTCATCATCATCATTATACATTAAATGATAATGATGATAAAAATACATCTTCTATTTACATAAATAAAAATAATAATAATGCATCATCAGAAATATCGATAAATAATATTAATAATAATCATGATCATCATCATTATCATCATAAACAAGAAACTACTAATGTAAATGATTTTATAAATAGTAAAAATTTAAATTTTCTTCCATCAACATCATCAAATATAGGAGTAACATCAACAACAACAACAACAAAAACAACAACAGAAACTAAAACAGCAACAACAATTAATAATGATGATTTTTTAAATTATGAAAATTTTAATAATAATAAACCAAATCAAAATATTAATGAAGATTTATTAAATGCATCAACACAATTTATTAATAATAAAATTGATGAACTTGAACCAATTATTAAAATTTCACAATCAACACCATTTACAACAACGTTATCTAGAAATAATAATGATGATAACAACAGAATTATTAATAACAGTAACAGTAACAGTAACAGTATAAATTCATCATCGTCAAATATTCGTAATCAAATAATTGATAATGATAATATGGAAAATCATTTATCATTAATTAATCAAAATAGTAGAGGCAACGGTATGGGTGGTCATCATCATCATAGTCGTTCTAAATCAATTTTAGGCAATGAATTAAATTTTAATGTAAGAATATAAAACAATACAAAAAAAAAAAAATGTTATCCTTTTCTTTTTTTTATAAAAAACCATAAAAAATTTTTTCAAGAAACTTTTAGTTTAATAATGGTTTTATAATATTCTTAAATTTTACTATCATAGAAATTTATGAATAAATTTTACTATCATAGAAGCGTGTGAATGTTGAAATTAAGATGTTAAAATAATCTGTAACTTCAAAATTTGGAATAAATATTGTTACTGCTACAAAATACAGCAATTGCAAGTCATAAACAGTTGATTATTACTGTTATTGTTACATTTGCTCAACTATCATTACTACACAATTACATGGAATTTAATAACACTACAATTGCTACACAATTCCACTTCATATGAGTTCTAATTTGTAGAATGATGAATTTTGTAGTACAATATCGGTATTAAACTACAATTTTGAAGTTGGAGAGAGTTTATTTCGTACTCATATTAATTTTTATTTGTTTTTGTTTTGAAATTTTTTATTTAAATAAAAAAATAATTTTTTTTTATTCTCTCAAAATTATTTTAAATTGTTTTGTATTGTTTTCTTTTTTTTTTTGTTTAGAGAGTTTAAAAGTTTTACATGATTTTATTCAACTAAATATGCATATAACAAATACACATAGTATGTATATGTTAGTATGTATATATAAGTACTCATTATATATGTATATTATGTTTTGAAATTAATATTTTTTTGTAAATTTTAAGTTTTAATAAGTAGAAAGAGAAGAAGAAGAAAAAAAACAATACATTTATATTTTTTTATTTACTTTTATATTTTTATATATAATATTATTGTATTAGTTCTGCACACACTGTTGTACATGTATTGAAAATATTATTCTAAAAAAAAAAAAAAATAATTTTTTTTTTCAACAAAATTTAGTTATTTTTCAAAAATATATGCAAATTCAAAAAATAACAAAATAACTAACTACAAATATAGAAACTTTAATTATGTACATACATGCAATAAAAAGAAAAAATTCCTTAAAATTTTTATTAAAATAATATTTAAGAATTTAATTTCAAAATATATTTTTTTAGTTTTAACATATTATTATTATTATAATTATTGTTTTATTATAAAATTGTATATTTCAAATTATATAAAAGAAGAAAAACTGTAATATAAAATTATTCTGCTTATGTATGTATTGAAAATGCATTCTCTTATTATAATAATATATGATTTTTGTTTATAATTAAAAAAAATTATTACCTATTTGTTGTTTTTTAAGGTTTATTTACAAAATTATTATTGTATTATCTAGTTGCTGACAAAAATAATCACTTGCATATATGAAAGTAATTTAAAATTTTATTTTATAAACAGGCATCCTGATTGTTTGTCACAATTTTTCAGTCACAATATTTTTTATTTAAAACTAGATTTCTCTGCTCTGAGTTGTTTTAACCCAAATTGAGCATGGTTACTCTTCAGTCATCTCAACTGATTTTTAAATTACTATTAAATAAATTAAAATTAATATTATAAAGATTTAATAAATAAATTAAATTAAAAAGATTTAAATATTTTTGTTTTCAAAAATTTTCTTTGTTATTTTAATTATACGTTACTTGTCACTATTTCTTATTGAGATTTACTCATTTCAACAAAATTGGATTCTGTCATTTTTTCTCACAACACAATATTTGCAAACCAAATAAAAAATATCGAGCTGAATTTGTCACATTCAAAAATGACAGAAACTGACTGAATGACTGATTTTTGTATACATATAATATAATTTTGAAAAATTTAAAAGAAAATCATTTCCGATCAATTGCAATTGTGAGATGAATTCTCACTGTGGAAAATGATATTGTTCTCTCTCGCATTATATGATAACATTGATAATAATAAATATCGATATAAGGCATAATTTGAGAAAATATAATAGAAATTTTATTATTATGACACTCTTCTGATTTCTTTCTTACTTCTGCATAAAATCGTGTGACACATAAACAATCAAGCTAAAAATATTTTATCTGGCTGCAATTTATTTAAAAAAAATAAATTTCTTAAATTTTACTTTCATTTTGCAAAAATTTTTATTTTTCTCAATAAAAATGGTAGTTGAATTTCTTACAACCCCCGCTACATGGCTTTCGCTTATAAGAAACTCTTACTTATCCACGAAATCAAAACCAAACAAACAAAAAATAAACATTCTTACACAAGCAAATCCAATTATGTATTTTATATTTAAGAACTATTTATTATGTAACCAAGCTATTAAACCACCTTTTAGCAAAAGTATCCTCTACTATATACATACATACATTATACTTATTGTTCATTCATTAGCTCTGAACTTTAACTTCTCTGAAATAAACACAAGAATTTTGTATACCTAAAAAGAAAAAAATTCCTTGATAAAAAAACAAAAAAAAAAAACTTATAAACAAGTTACACATAAAAAGTTCTAAATTTTTTAAAAGAAATTAAATTAAAAATATAAAAAACAAAAAAATTATTTATATAATGTTAAAAAAAAAAAAACAAAAATGAAAAACTAAAAAATTAAAAATAAACAAAAATTAAAACGAAAAAATATTTTTGTAAATAAATAACAAAAAAAAAAATAGAAAACTAAAACAAAAAACTAAAAATACAAAATTTTTTTTTATTAAAAAAAAAATAAATTAAAATAAAAAATTAAAAACAAAAACAAAACTCAATGTTGCAAAAGAACATGCACGCAACCCTGTCAAGGACGTTAAAATTCCTATTGAAAATTTTTTTTTTTAATTTTTGTTTTAAATTCGGAACTAGATTTTATTCTTAAACCCACCTTCGTAGGTTTCCTTCTTGAAAGCCAGATAGAATTGAATTTAATAATAGTTGATTAAATATCACAGCTCCTTCGATTTTTAATATTTTTTTTCACAATTTCTGCATATTCACCAAGAAAATCACATTGCAGGTAAAAATAAATATAAAATATAAGAGCCCGGCCGATATATTAAATTTTACTTAAAAAAATATTTTAAGATCACCTTCCCTACTCTAATTATTTAAGTGTTATTACATAAATAAAACTAGTTCTAAATCATTTTCTGTACAAATTATAGGATAATAATTTAGGACTTTAGAATCCAGGATAATTAATTTAGTTTTAACACTAATTAAAGAAATAAGTTTATCCGTGACTTCAATAATGCTGTAAAAATGTACGGTATTAATACGGTTGTAGCCAATGTAAATACCTTTGCATTGTAAAAAAAACTACTAAAGCTTCTCTTACAATTTGGAACACAATTTTTGGAACACAATTTTTATAATATTATTACATACTTGGACGTTTATTTGAAAAGTTCAATTTAAAGTTCTGTGCAAATGTTAATTTTTAACAAACGTTACCAAGTTATTGAAAACATTGCATTTTTATGCTGCATTTTAGGAAAAAAAAACTTAATAAAACAAGCACATTATTGCTGAAAATAAATACTAATTTATTTAATTGGTTATTTATGGCAACATTTATATAAGACAAGGTATAAGAAAAGCGTACTCGATTTTTTCGATACCCGATTTACTTTTATTTTACGTTTCCACTACGTATAAAACGCATTTTGGAAAAGTGTACAATGTCAAGAGCTTTTACTAAACTTTTTGGAATTTGATACTTTGTAAAATTTACGTCGTAAGCGCATTATTGAAGTCACGGTATTTTAGCATTTGGAACATTTTAGAATTGTTGGAACAAACCCATTATTTATTTTTACATATAACTTTTGTTCTTCTAAATTTTACTACAAGTAAAAAGTGTTCTTTTTCGCTTCTATCTGGTTAGAAATAAAATTTTAGAACATTTTTGTAAATTTACCCAAATTTTTATATTACTTTTATTATTGCAATGCCAATAATTAGCTTAACAATAATATTTTGTATAAAACAATCAATAAAATAATATGAAGGTCAACATACCATATACAAAATATTCCCCTAAAACTCCTCTAATTTGATTTTAATAGAAAATAGTAAAATAAAAGAAAAATAGAGTAATTTTCTATTCTTCTAAGAGAATAAAACAATTTTTGAATTCTACTCAATTTAATTTTAATTTTACTGTTAATGAAATTATAACAACATCGTACTAATTATAGGCGTCCTATCGAAAAAAGGGTTGGTTTATGCGTAGGTTCTTTTTGTTTTTTTTTTTAAATAATATTACATAATTATATATAAATAGAATATACCTAGTAATAAATTAATTATTGTAAATCAAAAACAAAAAAATAAATGTTATTAAAATAAAATTAAATAAAAAAAAGAGGAAATATTTGTAAATAAAAATAATAAAAAAAAAATGAAATAAAAATAAAATAAAATTCATGAATTTCGTTTATATTTAAAATAGAAAAATTATAATAAATAAAAAATTCTATAAATTATAAAAATGGCATACGTATAAAACAAAATAGATAAAATTTTTAACCTTAAATTGTAGGTATTCAATAGAAATTTGGTAAAACAAATAAAAAATATTTAAAAAAACATTAAAACTGAATAATTATTAAACAAAAAAAACAAAGAGAAATTAAAAATTAATTCTGTGGCAATTAGGCAGAATGTCATATAAATTTGCATAATTGGTGATTTCGAGTAGTTTAATCAAAACAGAATGTTGCCACACACTCTTGAAATTATTTGAAAGGCACAACTTAAAATTGAGTTTTATAGAATTTCCAGTAAAATTTTATGTTTTTCGCTTAAATTAGATAGCTTCTGTTATCAGGCTGTATCATAATAGCTTTTGGGTTTTATCCCCAAGGAAAATTATTACTACTATTTGATTAACACCTGACATATGTATTGTGAATTAAATCACTTTTTATTGTATTATTTAATTTCCAATATGAAGAAATCAAATATGGTTATAATCTCAAGTTTATGTCATTGTAAATTTTATTGTGTTTTGCCTTAATGCCACAGAATTTTGATATTTTAATTATTATTATTTTTTTTTTTTACAATTATTAGTATAAATTCAAGTGTTGTTTAAAAATGTGGTAATTACAAAAACAAAAAATGAATAAGTCGCTGTATAAAAAAAAAAAATTTAATTAAATTGTAGATAGGGAAAAAAAACAACAAACAACAAAGAATATGAAAAAAAAAATTAGAAAACAAAAGTTTACATTTTTTTTTATGTTTATTTTAAATTGAATAGAAAAAATATTTTTATCTACACACATACACATGTATATACATGCAAACTAATATTCCACCCCTACCTATTTTCTGAATTCTATCGTCTATTTTAATTAAAGAAAAAAGCTTTAAGAAGCGAAATTCTTCAATTCTACCAATTATTCAAAAGCCTGTTTTTGGCCCGAATCAAAGGAAGCAAAATATTCTATATAGTATGAAGTACTACTGATGTTATACATTATAGTATTATACTGTTATACTGCTATATTAAAATGAAACTGTTATACATTTCATGCACGGTAAATGATTTTAAAAAATTGATAATTAAGAAACTGTTTTCTTCTTCAGTTTAGCCGAAATTGAAATATACAAATATACCCACAATGGACCGACGGACCAATAAACAAACTTGATAAAAGTAGTTTATTTTCATTTCTCTATTACGGATAAATACATTTTCATCGCAAACTTGCAAAATGTGGAATTTAATGTGGAATTTAATGAATGGAATCTTCCCTTTCTGTACGTATTGTGGCTGGTAATTAACAAAATTTTTGATTTAGCATTAAAATTAACCTAGAAATTTTATTCTAAATTAAAAATTTCTTATAAAATATTAGTCTAAATTTTTCATATATTTTCATTACAATCCAATACAATTGCAAGTATGTATACAAGTGTGTATGTTCCCAAATTCTAACCTATAAAATTCATAAATTTATTTTCGAAATT